AGTAGAGGAAAGTTTCGTTGGAAGTAAAACTGAGATTCGTACCTTCTAATTAAAGTTTATCGTGGTTATCTGATGCCCTTACCAATGATTGTATTCAGGGAAATCCCTTAAGATGATTGGAGCTGGTGAGATGTGAAGAAATTTTGCCATATTCATGACTCATAGGAACTCTGAGGAAATAATTTTTTTTCAAATCACTACATTTTAGGGTATTTGTTACACAGCAATCACTAATACAACAATGTGCCTGGCCTATTTATAAATACTCAAATATTCATAATTATTTAAAAAACTAATAGATACAGTGGAAATTATGGATTTGCAAAGTACAATAACAAGAAAGAAAGGTCTACTATATGAACTTAAAAGCAGATTAGAGATGTTAGAAGAATCAACTTTATTGTTACCAGATACAAAAATGCTCCCTTACATAAAATATGCAGTGTCCTTGTTTGGTGAGTTGAATCCACAAAAAAGAAATAAAAGGTAGCAGGAATGATAAATATGTGGAATAATCTATGACTCCCAGGAGTCTGTCATGAGGGCAAATGAAAAGAAAATGTGGGGGAGAGGACCAGAGAAACATTGGATTCTACAGGGCATGCTGAATTTGATGATTGATGTTCTTATAGGACATCTCAGCATTCCTGCTGATCATCCCAGATGTTCATTCAGTGATTGGAAATGTGGGCAGCTAAAGAAGACACATAGATACTGAATTGTGCCTAGCGACCCAGAAGCTGAAAAATGAAGAGACTTAATTTCACAAAAATCATGAAGAATCCAAAAACAAAATTAACTAACAGGCAACTATAAATCAGAGACATTCTGCAGGGGTGGGGGAGGCAGAGGGATCAAACCAGGGGAGGAAGAACACAAGGGACTATGGTGATGGTGCACGGGTGAATTGGTGATGGCTATTTTACGGGGACTACACCTGAGAGGAGAAAGCAGACATTGTACAAAAAGGAAAAATGATGTAAAAAATATATATATACATATATATATATAATAAGTCATGAAGAATCCACACAGCATATGTGCATGATGATGCAGAAATCACAGCCTGAGTGGAAATGGAAAAGTCAAACCAGTCAAACAATGACTGGTTTAGATAGGAAAAGGTAGAAGGCTTTTCTACCCAAATCTACATATTAATCTAATATCAGGAGCAGATCCATTCTTAAAGCAGGCCATTTTTGTAGCTAAAAAGGGAAAGTGCTATTTTGCACTGGAGGCATCAGTCATAAAAATGTTTAATAGCCTAAAAAGGTAAAAAGGCTCAGCAAAGGTTTAGATCAATTCACTGATGTAAGATGTAAAATAGCTGAATAAGGAGACTCAAACTCGGTTACTAATCTTATGAGGGCAGCCTGCATTTTCTTCACAGACCAAATCTTTCTGCTGCTGTCAGAACAGTCAAATGGACAATTGAGCAGACCTAATACTTGTGTGCTTTATACTTTATGACTTCCTGAAGCTGGAAATTGCCTGCAAGTGCCGAGTCCAGATGGAATCTGGCATTCATTCTAAACTCATAAGTCATAAAGTAAAAATAAAAAAACCTCCTAAGTCAGGCATAAATTATTAAAATAGATACACAGAGAAAAATGGGATCAGATTTTAGTGTTGTTAATCAGCTGAGTGTGTAAATAGATTTTTGTGACATTCTATACCTACCAATTTAATGTGTATTAAATATTTTGAGTAGTTGAGTATTTTGCATAGGAATTTACCCTCTATTATTATATCACACTAGTTTGAGAGCAGAGTTAGCCAAATACAAATTAAGATATCATAGTCACAACTGTAGAGTTCGAAGAGACCTCAGTCTCTGGACCAGTTTTCTGCCAAACCTGGGAAAGTTTCTGCCTCCACTCATTACACATGCATTTGGCTAGAAATCCTTCAGAGACAGGGAAGGAAGAATGTCTTTCTCTGAGTGCTCAGCTTTGCACAGACACGACACGATTGCATATGTTTTTCATGATACAGCTCTAGCAGGCATGCCCGTTTACTGGCAAGGAATCTGAGACTCAGACAATTTGTCACTTGACTGCAGCCCCAGATTGAGTGTTGGGACCCATATGAAACACCCACTGTCTACCTGATTTCATTCCCAGTACCCTGTCCATTATGAATGACATTCTAACTCACCATTGCACAAGATGACCCCTTCCACCATTCCAGTTATTATCCCCAAAATCTTGTGTCTGAAAGTCAACTCCTTTTATTTCCAGATCATTCTTCCACATGGAGGTGTGTACAGTTTGTAAAGACCATGTTCATGTTATCACCTAGTCTTGCCCCTCCTACAAGTCCCTAGTTTCCTGTCCAGCTCCTCACAAAACTGTGCACAAGCCCCTGACATTATGGTGTCTTTGCTTTGGCAATGGACTGTTTCACATAATGAAGTAGTAGCTTTCCAAGTCTTGGTCCTCACCAGAACAGCTTTGCCCATGAGCTCCTTCTGCTGTGTAGGACTCGACTTTGCTCTTCCAGGACAAACTGCTAAAGAACAGCAGAATAGATCAGGCATGGATGTATCACTTAAAATTTTACACGGATACATTTCAAAAGTATGATAGTTATGAAAATGTCACTTGACATTCTGAGACATCGCTAAATCTTTGGCTCAGAACCAAAACGTTGTACACATAGCCTATATCAGAGATAATGGGTCAGGCAGGGATTTCTAGAAGCAGCTTTTTGGGTATCAGAAGTCCATCGAACTGTCACATTCTTAATAAAAAAGACCAGCATTCAAAGCGCAGAGCAGAACCTCTTTATCTCCCTTGTCACTGCACCACTAATAGCTAATAGGGTATTATGGCATATCCTGACAGAGCTTGAACCATAAAAAATACAAATTGGACTTTTCTCGGCTAATTTGTCAGTGGAGGGGGCCTATAGGAGAGAGAATGAAGACACGTAACGATGGAGACTTAAACCTAAACTCTCAGAAACACCAGCGAACAAAATCAGAACATGTGAGACAGTATTTTCAATTCATATCATAGGGTTTCTTTTAATTTTAGTAGTTCCTGCAGGAAGAATTCATAAGCAGGTTAAGGTGATTTTTCCTAAAGGATGAAGCACAGAAAAATTTAATTCAACATCACACATAGAAATACAGATTTGACCCAAAGGCTTAACAGTTTCCTTCACTGTCAAGTGTTTCTAATCCTGAATGTCTGATATTTCAGTTGATTTGTTATGGGCCCTCTATTAATGGAGGCAAATGCTATAGAGCTGGTCTTTCAGCAACATATTCAAATGTATTGTTTTGAAATCATAGAGAGTCTTTCTCTCTCTGGATCTGACTTCCCTTATCTGTGTATGTATATATGTGAACACATACAGCCTCATTAAAAATTCTCACAGAATCCTTAGCAGCAGATGTGGTGGTTTTCATCTTCACATTATCGGCATGTTCCTGAAAAGGCTGGAGACTTGTGGATTACTTTGTGTGGATTTTACAGTATCCACAACAGAATATTTTAATAGCAGTGCACAAGCTGATACTGAAAGTAGTATGAAAATTCAAAGGACCTAGAATAACATAAACATTTCAAAGGGTCGTCCACACCAGAAAAGCATTCTGCTTGATTGCAATAATTATTATTCAGCTACCATCATCAAGATGGCTAAATAAACAGAATAGTAATTTTAGCAATAAACCCACACCATAAGTTCAGTTGATTTTCAAACAAAGTACCAATGGGATGGGGAATGGCCAGTCTTTCCAATAAATAGTACTCAGCCAACCTGAGATCAATATGAGAAAGTGTACCTTAACTCTTGAATATACACAAAACTCGACTTAATATGGTTGATGTACCTAAGCAAAAAATCCAAAAAAGTATAAAATTCTACCTGGGAGTAGACAATAATTGATTTATCATGAAACAAAGGCAAAATATTTGTAACTACCAATGCATTGATATACAGTATATGTCACCAGCACCACTCAATAAAAATACAAAAAGAACCAGATAAAATATTTAAGCAGCTACTTTATAAAAGAAGATACATGAATGAGGAGTAAGCATATGAAAAGAAGTTTAGCACTGGAAACACCATTAAAAACCATGTTGGTATATCATTAAACACATTAAAATGACTAAAGTTAAAAATGGTAATGTTATATATCAGTGACAATATCGTGTCATGAGAATTCTCCTGCCTTGTTGGTGGGAGCATAAATGGTGTCATGGCTTTTAAAAAGTCTAGAAAAAAAAAATGTGGTACATGCAAATGGTGGGATGTAGTGATAGGAAAAAACTACTGATAAAGTAGTATGAATAAATCTCAAAAACTCGGTGCTAAGGATGTAAGTCAGTCACCAAATGTGGCATACTGTATGGCTCTATATGAAATTCTAAAAAGCAAATTGAATCTGTGATGGCAGGAAGCAGGTCACTGGTTGCCTGGGCCAGAGGTCGGGAGAAGGAACTGACTGCGGAGGGTCAGGAGGGAACATTTCAGGCTGATGTTTTAATCTCCATTGTGGGGGTGATTATGCAGGTGTATTTGACAAATCTCATCATGGTGTACACTTAAAATGGGTCTACTGTATTTTATATAAATTGTACCTCAAAAATTAATAAAGTATATGACTATAGAGCTATCTATTTAAATCCAAAGATTTAAGACTGCTTTGTTTACAGACAATTTAAGATAAAAATGATAACCCCTTCTATTGCCTATGATTACGATACGCTATGAAAAAAAGCCTTATAAATGCCACTTGTAAAGCTTTCCTTGTGCATTCTTTCCCCATGTGACATTTTCTCGATTTGCCTGATAGATGTATATACATACTTACACATACATCACACACACACAGTCGATGCTTTCACTGATGTTTTCAAGGAAATAAAGGTAAATTGGGGAAATTAATGTAGAACATGGGATATACACTAATTGTAACCTGGAGGTTAATGAGAAACGCCATCGGCAAATAGTGTTTACCTGATAATCCTACTTTCTCTCTTCAGACAGACATTTCACTGTTCCTGCTTAAGGGGTGAAGAATCGTATTGATTTACTGCTGCCAACTGACATGAACCAGAGGTGAGTCTCCAGGGAGCCAGTGAGACATAATGGAGAATTGCTGTGAGTTTGATTAGAGTAGCAACCCCCCACCCCACCCACACACACACTCTTGCTTCAACATTATACATCACTTTACAGCTCAGAATTCTTCGAAGTCTGTTTTCTCAGGGGCCCTTACAGCGGCCTTGGCGGAAATTCTAATTTCCCTATTCCAGTCGGAAGGAGGCCAACACTTGGTGGGGGCGTCTCCAAGGTCACGTGGGTATGAAGTATGGGGTCCAGGACAAAATGTCACAGTTTCTGACCTCATTCAAGTGATTTCCCTCCATAAACCTTACCTTCCTGCTTTGCCCCCAGCTAACTTATTTTTGACCAAAAAAATGTAACCAATGATAGAAGCTCAGTGAAAAATGCTTTCATAAATATTTCTGTCTCTATGTCCATGTGCAAATCATTGACTTCTATATGTGTTCACCCCAGAAGTTAAATAGGATGGGGCAGGTATAAAAGCAAAACGTATACAGACTACATGAAAGGCAGAAAGATATAGTTGATTGAAACTGCAAATACCCAATCTTTAGTCAGGGAGGCCTCACGAAACAAGCCATTGGAAATCCTAGGAAGCAGGCGATGGGCTTTTGACATTTCTGCCAAAATAAGCTGATTGCTATAAATAGGGGGTCCCAGCACTCTGGTCAAGCTGGGAATTTTCACTTGTGTTGGAGACAGCATAGTGTCGTGTTGTCCTTAAAAGTCGCCATTTTGGAATCAAATAGACCAAGCACAATCCAAACAGATTTCAGCTGCAATTCTTTTACCACCCCTTACCAGCTGTCAGACCCCGGGCAGATGGCTTCACCCCTCTGAGCCTCATCTGTTTAATAGGAAATGCAGTGGTACCTCACAGGGTGCTTGGGAGGGTTAGGATCAGTACTGATAGTTCATTCTCTTCTATAAAGATCAGCCACGGTTATTAATAACTAGTAACTAATAACTATCCTCTTGGTATCTCAATCCCAGTATGTAACCAAGCCTTGCATAGACTGGGTGTTCACCGAGTACTACTTGCTGAATTTAAGTAAAGTACAGTTTTTCTTTCTTTTTTTTTTTTTAAAGATTTATTTTTATTTATTTACACAAGCACTGGGTACAGTCAGAAGGGCAGGCAGGTGAGAGAATTCACCAGAGCCAGAGCGGGGAGCAGAGCAGGCAGACTGACGAAATACACCGCTGAGGGGAGCAGCGGGCGGCAGGGGAGGTCTGCGCGCCCTGTGGGACCCTCCTCCGGTGGCCGGGGAGCAGCCGGGGATTGAACCAGCGCTGCAGAGGCTGCGGGCAGCTTCGCAACCCAGCGCTCAACCGCTGCACCACTGGGGAGACCCAGTACAGTTTTTCTTTTCTGCCAATATCAGGAGATCATCTTTAGCAGAAGGCCAGGAAAAGGATCTGCTACGTAGAAAGTGCCATTGCTTCTGGCTGCCTGCTCCTTGGTGTTTCTAGGTAAGGCATCTCTCCCCTAGTAATGTCCCAGCACATGCCCACTCAGCATGCAGTGCGTTCCTAGGTCAAAGCAGAGCCAGGTGCATCTGCCTCGTGGCAGACAATCGCTCTTCCCCATTTCTATCATCTCACCATGCCTCAAAAGACCAACAACGGTGTGCCTGCTGTACTTAACCTTTCCAAAATAATAGCATCTTAAATATTTTAAAAAGTATGCAATATTCAAGACATCCAAAAAGATGAAGAATAAACAGCATGGAGGAAGTGACCCAGTTACTGCAACAAGCATGAAAAGAGAAAGGGGCTGGAAGGACACCCAAGGTTAGAGACCAGCAAGCTGATGACTGAATCGCACGCGTGGGCCGCATCTGGATCTCCTGGCATGCGTGATGCTAAGGAATTATTATTTTGGTTAATAGAAGTAACGACATTATGTTTTTTAAAGCTTATTTTTTTTGGCTATGTGTACTGCAGCATATCTCACATTGTGAGAGATTTGTTATAGAGAAAAAGAACAAAGAAAATGAAGCAAATATGGCAACATTTTGATAATTGTGGAATATATAAGATGAATGTGCATGAGATCATTTCCTTAGCACCACTACTTTTGTATATATTTGAAAAAAACTTGTAATAGCACATTTGATGATATAAAGTTAAAGATACAACAAATATCTGTGTATCCAAATTCAGCTTGTGGGGGTAATGCACTCCCTCCAGAAATGACCACTAAACTGGCCTTGGGGTTGATTATTGTCTCATTACTCTTTATGTTTTCACTGCATATTTTTGATCAATATGATGTGTGTGATTCATCCATAGCTCCAAAATAGAGTCTCCCTAAACTAGCTCCCATGCTCTTTTCCTGAGCTAGGCAAAGTTTATATCAGTGTTGAAATGTCCTCTATAAACCATGCCTGGGTTGCCTACTTGTAAGAGGTGCTTATTTGTAAGATGTTGTGAAGTTTTATTGAATGACGACTTCTACAAAAAAGAATTCTGTCATTACTTAAAGATGGCAAGATTTTTGCTTCCTCTAAATCTGTTTGTCTTTAAAAAAAATCTCTAGAATACATTAGTTAAGTTTCCACTGAAAGCTAATACATTTTTACTAACTCAACAAATAAGTAAATTAAGGTATATTAATTTTGACATTATTGTAAGAGTTGACATATATTGCAAAATCTAAAGACCTCTCTGAACATTATCGTGTCAAAATTGATGGTCATAGTGTGGAGAATTCCAGATAGCCATGATTTATTTATTTTGGATATTGTTTGAGAAAGGCTCCAAAATGTGGATAGTTGTGAGCTGTCTCATTCAAGATTTTTCTGCCCAGTGCCTTGAAGATAAACAGTCCGATGTCTGGATCTTCCAGAACACTGGAGGATTGTTGTCAAGTAGTGTCTTAGGGTGATATCCATGTAGTCTTGGTCAGATAGTAGGTGAACAATTAATGCTTATGGGTAATATTTTCCCTGGTTGGAAATGCCATAGGGACAGTCTGTTGAGCACATGGACTGGCTATCTTTAGAAGCACATTATCAAGGAGAAAAGATAAGCTAGCTTGTCTGAATTAAACTACATGTCTAGTACCTTGAGGCAGAACTGACTTCAGGATAGTCAGGGAATAAAAATAGAAAAAAGCCCGCATCTTGTATGTGCTCTCAGGCTCTGACAACCAGCCCCAGAAAGCTGTTGCTCTTTGATCTGCAAGGGGGACAAGATTCTTGATAACTCCCACCGTGGTCTGAAGGGCATCAGCCCTGGTTGCCTCATCCCAGCCTTGGACCTAACTGCACTTAGGTATTTTTCCCCGTTTTGTAAACCAGAAGCCCAACACTATCCTTTACATTTGTTGCACTTGGTAATGATGAAATTTTCTTTAACTTAATTGAGAGTAATTTAATTGGTACGTCTTCAGCCTGTTATTAATCATCCCTACTGTGGTGAAGAGAGATAAGCGGGTTAAAGTATACATTGGGCCCTTAATTCCTAAGCAGAGACTTTGTGTTGCCATCAGCCCGCCATCTTTAAAAAGGTAGTTTTTGAAGGCCACAACTCTCTCTGACGTTCTCTCGTTAGGCATAACCTAGAGGTTCCTTTAAAAGTGCACTTAGACTCTGTGCAGCCACTTCCTCGAGTGTTGAGTTCTTTCTAGACATTCTCTGGGCTTAAAGCTTTTCTTCAAAGTGTATTATAATCTATTCTCTTGTAGTGCCCAAGGCCTTGTGTCTGCCCCCTCCCCCACTCTGGTGCCCTTCATAATGCCCCCCACCCAGGCAAGGGCGCTCAAATATAAACAGACTTTGGCTCTGGGTGGATGTGACGGGTTCCGAGCCACTCTCGTTCCCTGTTCTAGAATCTCTGCTCTCTTCCTCCTTGACCTCTCAACCTCAGGGGTCTCCCTTTTACAGGTCTCCTGGTTACCATTCGACGCCAGACTCACATGGAGTACCCTTTCCAGGAAGGACGCAAATTCTGAGAGCAGTTTGTCAGTCTTGTTTAATAATGATGTTTAACTTTTTGGCACATTTCAAAGACATTTTGGGGGCAAAGATTTAATATGACGATACCGTCCTGCATTTAGCTTGTCCTTGAGTGCTATACATTACAGAAACTAAAGGAAAATTCCATAAAATGTTGTCTCTGTCTATTCTGTATTAATACACTTGTTCACCTAACAGTCACTGAAAATTCATATTTGAGATACTCTTCTAAGTTACGGAGATGTAAGTCTCTCAGAAACTTATTTCTCCCCAAACTTTTATTCTAGAGAACATTAAATAAATGTAATTGTGAAAATAAGATACCTAAAAATGTCCCGTGGTTACATAAGTTTGGAAAGCGGTTACGTAAGTTTGGAAAGAGGTTAAACAGAAGTCATTAACTTTTGAATCCACCTGACATCTCATTGCATTACTGTTCTTGCAGTGATGTACATTGCCTTATTCCATGCAAGTTTCAGGGGTACATCCCTGAGACTCAGCCCGTGTCTATACTCAGTTAATCCTAAGCATTCATTCGCTTCTTCACCGCGCATCATCCTCTTTGTCCCAGTTTACTCACCTGCCTTGCCCCCGGCATTCTGGAAGCCAGCCACTGTGTGAATTCAGATCTTCTGTCAACTTTTTTAATCAGGCGATTTTTGTTGTTGAGTTCTTTGTAGATGTTGGATATTGACCCCTAGTAGATATATGATGTGCAAATTTCATCTGCAGTTCAGTCGGATGACCTCTATTTCTTACCATGAATGTCTGAGGATTGGAATAGAATAGGGGAAAAAATGTCCAAAATTACCTGCCCAATACACCCCTTTACCCCTTCTTTCCTGGTTGTCTCATTGGGCTCCAGAATATACTTTAGGAAATAAGAGCAGCCATGATGCCAAAGTCACACCACGGCGAGGTTGTTGCCATGATGATCTGTTGCTTCTTTCTTTGGTGAAAATGTTGTTTGCCTTGAAGCCTGTCCGAAACTGGTAGAGCCCTGCCAGCCTCCATGGGGTTGCTGTTTGCACCGCATTCCTTTCTACATCCAAGTACCCTCAACCTCGCTGAGCCTTTCTACTTAAAGTGTGTCTCTTGTAAACACCTCCTAGTTGTGCTCTGCCTTTTTATAAATTCTGACAATTTTTGCCTTTTGATTTGTGGGGTTATTCCATTACAATTTCCTACGCTGTGTTTATGCTGGGGATGCCATCTTGTTTGTTTTCTGTAGCTCCTCTGTTTTCTCTTCCTCTCTGATTCACGTTGAGTAATGAACGTGAATCTTTTTGTTCTGTTCGGAGTAGGTATTCAGGAAACATTTGTTGAACTGATTCATGAACTGTCCCTTCCTGTGTGAACTTACCAGACTCCTCCAGGCAGTGTGAAATTTTTCTCCCTTCGATGCGCCTATAAAATTGATAAAATATCCACATATTTCTCATAGGTACTGGGGTTTATTGCCAAATACTTCTCAGCCTGACAAGACCCTCGGGATCCCTCTAATGCTTATCCATGCCTTGTGGTGTTTGAACACACACAAAAGCAGCTGCATCAGTCCAGAGTTACCACGGCCTATAATGAGATGTAGGTTGGCATTAAAATTATTGTTAAAATTGGTTTAGAAAGAAGAGGTTCGAAGAGCTATCAGAGAGTGTTTGACATGTCATTATATCGTCTATAATCGTATCAGCTTGTTATTCATCCAAAAGAACACCCCCGGGCCTCCCTGGTGGTGGTGGCACAGGAGTTAAGTCTCAGCGCTATCAAACTATTGCCAGACACTGCAGCAGGAGTTTGATCCCCAGCCAGGGACCTGACCCACAAGGTGCAGCAGACCTTTCCTGACTCGCCGCTGCTCCCTGCTCTGTCTCTGGTAAAACCTCTCACCCCACACCTCTGGCCTACACCCCAGTTCTTGTATGCATACATAAATAAATCTTTATAAAACAAAACGAGAACACTCTGCTTTCCCCCAAATAAGACTAGCCTCTGCACTGACACATGATTTTTATGATTCCCAAGGTCACCGCTAGTTCTGAGAGCGCGATTAACCAGTGCTGGTGGTTAGGGTGTCTCACTGTGTGGTGCTTATTTATTTATGTGTATTTCTTCTTCGGTAGATTGTTCCCTCCTGAAGGGAAGGGCCAATGTCTTTTTTTTTTTAATTTTGTGTCACTGTCACATTGCCTAGTGGGCAATATAAATTCAAGAAAATCTACCGAAACATAAAATCAGCGGGCACATACCTGTTTCAGAGAGAGTGTAAACAGTAGCTGGGAGGTTGCTAGTGAAAGACCTGCGGCAGTGCAGGCCAGCCCACGGCATGGAGTGTGTAACACACTCAAAGAGAACCCTGAGTCATTCTTTACCATAGTGAGTTTGGACACACGTTTTTATTTTGAACAGACAGGAAAGTCCCACTGCATATTACCTGAGACAAATGTCTATGTGTAATTTTAACAGACCTGATGGCTAATCTTAACACCTGATTCTTCAGGATTACACACACATGTGTAAGGAGCTGAGCGAAAGGAAGAGAGAGGAGAAGCAAGCATTGTAAACTGATGGAAAACCTTCTGTTTTTCCTTCTTGACTTCAGTCATATCACTTGTAGAGGGGGAAGAAACTAGTACCAGGAGAAGGTCCAAAAATGAAGTATTTCCTAGTTTTACTAATACAATGCTTGGACCGTCCTTAGCTACTGATAATCTGGACAAAGGGCACAATTCAAAATCAAACTTGACACAGAAACTCTGGCCTCGTGGACACTCCAAAGGGATTTTGTATACCTTAGAACAAAACATTTCCTGCCCTTGGGTAAAGTGATACAGCTCCTATTTGCATGCATGGTATTTCCCCTACTCATGCTTCACTTATGAATGTAAGGGGACGGGGGTAAACACTTCGGAACTCTAAAATATATGTATATACTAACTACTTTCAGACATGGTTTTATAGGGCCTCCCCTGGTGGCGCAGAGGTTGAGCACTGGACTGTGAAGCCACACAGCCACCCGCTGCTCCCCTCAGCTGTGTACTTCGTCACCCTGCCTGTTCTGTTCCCTGCTCTGGCTCTAGTGAATTCTCTCACCCTCCCGCGCTTCTGACTGTACCCAGTGCTTATATAAATAAATAAATAAATCTTTAAAAAAAAA